TGACTTGATTTAGTAATTGTGAATTTTGTGAATTGGCAACTAAGAGAAATATATTGCACATGAACTTCAAAGGTCTAACTCCTCCCTACTCCTAACTTAAAAGTAATAGTGTGTTTATTCAGTATGTATTCACATTATCTCTCTATAAAGTCTTTTTCATTGGCTTTTAAAGACATACATGTAATTTTCTCATTCTTATTGTATTATAGGAATCACCAGAATTTCTATTTCCAGTTATGTGCTATCTACCAAAGGAAACTAAAGCAGAAAATTGAAAAATTCTGTTTTGGTTCTGGGTTCTACAGATAAGGGAGGAAGTCTCATGATTATCATACAGTAAGGAATTGGCGTGTTTTAATCTCAATAGCGATTTTTTTGGCCCAAAGTATTCAAGGGTTTCAGAGTCTCCCTTTACAGTACCTCTATAGAGACAGGAAAAACAAGTTAAATATTTTTAAAACAAAAATCATATTAGCTCACAGACAATAGAAGGCAATTTTTCTTCCTTAATTTTTGCTCCTAAAATCATGTCCTATAAACCAATGGAATAGAAATAGAAATGAAATAAATAAAATTTTATGTTTAAGGCAGTTTTTTAAATTAAGGTAACCTATAAACATTCATTTTTGGCTTATCATCTGCTTTTAATAAAAGAAAACAAATCTTCACCAAGTCTGAAGGGGCAAAAAAAAATCAGATGAACATGATGTATATTACTTGTCATTCCCAGTGAGTAACACCACAAACAGAATATTCTGGTTCATCCCAGCTGACTGTAGTGGATAACATAATGAGAACTGGAAATGATGTCAACCTTTGATTTGAGGATATTTGTCTACAAAACAAAATGGCTGATACACAAGGTCCTGTGCTCAATACTCACAAAGAACTAAAACCCAATTCCATGATGTGTCACATGTGGACACATGAGGCATCTAGTCCAAAAATGCTGCTATAGTAGTCATAGTTTTGGCATAGCTATATATAGAAATAAGGCTACACCAATCTTAACTTACATTTTCTGTCTATGCTCCTTTCTATCTTGTCTTCCTTTACATGCACATGCTCTAAACACAGCCTATTGGTCAAGGCAAGCTGCTCATATTCTTTTCTGCCCTGCTATTGGTCATAATGCAATAGGTTCATTTTCTTCCACCATCGTAACTGTATTAAGTGATAGATGGATCATTTTGTCTACCTTTAATGGAATTAAATTAAAAATCAAAATTTGCCCACGATTATAGCCCAACTAGGATATAATCAGTAAAGTTTATTTCATTAAAAAACTAGAGGTCTGAAGATTTTCTAAGGTTTGAGATTATTTTTAAGGCTAAATATTAATACTTGCTTATCTGAAGTTATGTCAGATTCCAAGTGATTAGTAAGAATGAGCAAATGTTGATCTTGGCACTGCCTCACCCTTCTCCAAAGGGTTAGTGGGAAGGAACACAGATTGCAGATATGTCTGTGAAGGAGGCATCTTTTAACAGAGATTTAACAATTTACTGGTACAAACATTATCTTTGAGCTATATGTCTTACCCTCAACTTTGAGTGATAATGATCAGTTTGGCTACTGCTTTGTTTCCTCTGAAAAATAATAGAAAGACAAATATATTTAATAAACTGTGGCTCCAGAAATACCATTGTAGCAAACACTTTTATTAATGCTTTCACAAAAATGGCATTTAATAAATTCTCTCTAAGATCTTGATATAATTAAAAGCAAATAAAATTCATTAAAATAGTTCCTTTGTGTGTTACATTAGATTTTATAGTGTTTTCATTTTTGTTTTATAAACGAATGTAAAATCGTCATAAATCAAATCAGGGTTAAAAACAATACAATGTGTTTTCTTTATTTCAAAATAGCAATTATAAATACATTCTTAATATATTTCCTCCCCAAGTCTTTGGATGTGACATCAATAACAATACCAAAATGAAAACAAAACAAAACAAAATAAAAAAACCTCACTGTGCTCATTTCACGCAATATCAATGTAAAAGCCATGCAAAATTATTATAGATTAATTTTATCACCATACATCTCTAAATGTATTCTGTTATCTCTGAAATATCTGTTGACATTATTCATGGGACCAGGCCCTGTATAATTTACGCATCCTTATGGCTTAAAAAAATTAAATGTTAAAAAGAACAAAAGAAGGATGATCTTAAATGATGTTCTAATATATTTATTTGGTTTATTACTCAATGAAAAAGTAAATATAGAATATAAATTGCCTTATAGACTTGAATCACTACTTTAATAGCTGCTTTCTCAGAAAATTACACAAAGATTTACTCTTGAAGAATTGAATCATATTTATTGATTTCATAAAAAAATAATTTAAAACTTGATTTATATTACACAAACACAATATATTATCTCAACCCCTTCACTGGTTTCATGAGATCTACTTTTCTTTGTATCTGTTCTAACACAGTCCATACACAACTATAGTGCCAACACACCCAGGATGTGTCTCACCCATTAGAAACTAGCACTTCTTGGATTGTTTTATATTTGAATAAAAGTTCTACTAAAAATTCTGTACTGATGCACATTATTATACCTTAAGGGGTTAAACTAACATCAAGGTTATAGTTGAATTCAACAAAATATACATACGGTATTTTAACTGCTCTTGCACTCAACTCAGAACTAATGCCTAGCTACGTTATCATAAAATATACAAGTAGAATTAATGAGAGACAGGTGAAAAATAGTATACACTGTATAATGTAGGCACAATGACTTTAGTTAAGGAAGCTATATTAGCCTTAACCAAGGAGTTGTTATGTTCATTTACAACTAGAACCTTCAAATAACCATGTACAATTAAATTACTTTATCCTTATTTTGTTTTGAACATTTATACCTTTCAGCAGAAGAATATGAGATAGCCAATATACTACAGCAAGCTGTGAGATGGAGGAAGGTACTCTTGCCATTGATAATTCTGCAGAAATCTGGAAACATCTTAAAACATCACCACACTGAATAAAAAGGCATCATCCCAATGACTCATTATTCCCAGATCATGGATGGAGAGTTCTACTTCTTCCCACAAGTGTCTATTTAAGATTTCTCCATCCATACATTATTGACAGGGTGAACGAAATCACTTTCTTTGCAGCCATTGCATTGTTATCCTGTCAGTATGCATTAGGAGCCCTTTATTCCATGGATGCATGCACGCATGGTAATGGCCTATTAAAAGTCCTTATGAAATTGTAGATGAATACAAGCTGTTGAGCACACATCTTGTCTTTCCTTTCAAGATCATAAAGCAATTATTTGTTTAGATGTTTTTATATTCATATAAAATTTTCACAGACATTGTCATGAAAATTAAAATTAGACATTAAAACTTTAAGAGCACCAGCACATACATATGGAGATATTTTTGCTATTTAAAAAATTCTCCAAATTATCTATATGTATGAATATATATCCATACACACACACACACACACACACACACACACAAACACCTCCAAGAATGCCAAGTTTTACTTATAATCTTGGAACAGACACATAAAGCCCTGAAAATAGTGCTTACTAAAGGAATCACTTGTTAACTTTTAATCATAATGTCATCTCAGAAACTGAACCAAAATATATTCCACTTTAAATTCATGAAGAATGCCTATGTTTTGCCTTCTTGGTTAACTACAGACTGATATTGTAATTAATGAATAAATACATATGAATGTTCATATATGTACATATACACATACGTACATATATGTATATGTATGTATGTATACATATATATATATATACACACACACACACACACATATACACATCAGCTTACCAAGAAGGTAATATATTTCTGAATATCACTTTGCAATTGGGAGCTCTTAAAATTCTTCAAATATTAACCTGTTATCAAATACTTAATTCTTTTGACCAGTTTTTACTTACAATTTAACAGCATGAGCAAACACAGGGACATATCACTGTAGTTGCAGACTGTGAGCTCATCTGCGTCCAATGCAAATGTTACAGTGTGGCTTTGATAGCCGAGACTATCATGATGTTTGTAGTTCTACTAGATTATCTGATAGTAGTCAGAATGATGAAAGACCAGGATACAGATGCATACAAGATACTATTAAGCTTAGTCATTAGTTTTTTTAAATACTCATAGTGAAAACTACTTGAATTAATCTCATATAATCCTGAAAAGCAAGACAACTGATGGCAAATGACCAGTGCTCTAGACACAATACTATGAAACTAAGGAGCCTATTTTAAAATGCACACTTGTTAACAAATTTGAATATAATATGTTAAATTCACAAGAATAGCACAAAACTGATTTTTATTTTTATATTCTTTGTATTTTTGTTTTTTTGATTTTTTTTAAACTTTTTTTTTCTAATTTTCAATTATACCTGATCACAAAGTCCAAAATATTTCTGTACACCATTTGCTTTCATTTCAGTTAAGTATTTTTTCTATCTAAATTTTACACTTACTGATAAATTTGCTGTGATCAGGAAAATAAGTCAAGCATAGTAAATACATTTTTAAGGAGTACATATTTTCCTATTTAGTATACAAAGTACTTCATAAATATGAATTATGTTACAAAAATAGCTTTGACTGCGCTCACACGGTAAGCACTTTGCTAATTTTGGACAACCTTTAAGGATTGTGGGGTTTTCACATAACTGAGAACAAACTCTAGGGTTAGATTAATTTGAGCCATTTTTTAATTTTGATAAACATCACGCATTTCTTCAGATCACCACAAATGCTATGTTACTCACGTGGATTTTTTTTTCTCTTTTAGGATTTTATGTATAGACAGGTAATGCTTAAAGTGTTCAAATTTATTTTATACTTAATGCATGGTATATTTTAAACAAGTATCTGCACAATTTAACATTATAAATCCAGCGGTTTCAAGATGCAGGCCATAAAGGTTACCGATTTACAAATACTATCGAATGTTCTCTCTTTGCATGCTTTTTTTTTTTTACACTTTTCAGATAATCTTTACACAGAGTTGTTACAATGCCACAAATCAAAAGGATTATTCCAGTTCCACCAACTTAATCTACGTGCAAGATGAAGGACCCAGTTGAAGTACAAACACTGGTACCAGTTTTCTTGAGCTTGCTTCACAAAGCACAAAGAGACGAAGGTTTTGTATTGGGGTACAAAACGAATTTGCCTCTTGAGGTTAAATTCAGTGTATTATGTGTATAAAGCATCCCTTTGGCAATAGAATTTGCAGTATCCCCACAGGACTCCACAGTATAGGTTTTCTGTAGTAAAATCTATTAAGGAAATTCTCTTCTACTTGATACATCTTTGCAGCTACAGTTAATGAGACAACCTTGGAAACACCTGCCTCTATGCCTATTGATAATATAGTATTTGGGAGTTAGAAGTCAACAAAAGGCACTTTCATCATTAAATAAATGTCCTCTGTATGAAGTTAGAATGCATGACCTAGATCTTGTTCAATGCCGTTTGCTCCTCAAGGACCTGTAGGTAGTCAGGGGAACTCTGAAGTTTTGCCTTCAGTTCGAAATACTCACTCTTCCTCTGCTCCACAACAATTTTACTGTGGTTTCCGCCTATCAGGGACTTCTTGTTTTTTTTATCTTGTTGTTTTTCTGGATAGCGGATCTCGAAGCCACTGACACCTATGCTATTATACTCCTTCTTGCTTTCAAGAAAATTCTGAATAAACACGTTGGAATCCCTGCTCGGGAATAATTCATCCAGTTCATCAATTGTGCTCAGTCTCTTCCTGGTATCCACGTGTAATAAATCCTTCTCTTTGTCAGCAGCATTTCTCATCATGACTTTCTGTCCTGCAGGATCTGAAAACATGAACCCAGTTTCAGACTCTTTCAACCCACAGGTGTGGCTCTTGCTCATCTGTTCTATGGTTTGTGGGATGAAGGCTTCTGTGCTCAGTCCATCTTTTTTATTGGTTTTGTGGTCGTGCTTCCTTAGCTGCAGTTGCATAGAGCCACATTCAGAATTTCCCAGACCTTCGTGCTTCACTGTGGGTTTCTTGTTGCGTCGTAGCACAAAAACAAGAAGGCAAAAAGCGACAAACACAGTTAAAATGAGAACCACTAGAATACTCAAGATTAAAATAGACAGAGGCACTGGCCCCCCAGGAGGACTTCGAATGGGACCCAATGGGGTGGTGAATGTAATAGCAGGTGCAGGGCTTGTGAATGGTGCAGATGGCTTATTTAGAAGTTTAGGACATAAGATTTCATTTTTGAGGGACTTCAGTTCGATGCTGGCAAACTGAACAGGTGTCTCACATTTCAGTTCCTTCACAACAATCCCGTCATTTAACTTTTCCAGCCACAGCTTTAATGCCACCAAGTCACAAGTACAGTCCCATGGGTTGCCCTCCAAGTCAATCTGTGTAAGAGACTGCAGCTGATCAAGAACTCCACTGACAGGCAGGTACATGAATTTGTTGTTTCTCAGGTTCAGTCTAGCAAGAGGTGCTCCAGAAAAAATGTAAACAGGCAGGCTCTTCAAGAGATTATTGTTTAAATACAGTAACTGCAAATTGGGCATGGAGTCAAAGGTGCCTGCTAAGATTTCCTTAATCAAATTGTATTCCAAATACAGATACTGCAGGTTATGAAGGCCTGAAAATATCTCAGGATACAGCCTTTCGATTTGATTGCCATTGAGATACAGCCTGCGTAAATTAGTAAGATTGTGGAATACATCTCCTTTGATCACCGTAATCTGATTGCTGCCTAAATGGAGCAAATCCAGCCCTTCAAACTCTGAGAAGTCTGAAATGTCCACATCTTTGATGCTATTGCCATTGACATGCAACTTCTTGGCATTTAAAGGTTTTGGTGTCAGCTCAGACATGGACTGTATATTTTTCTCTTGGCAGTTCACACTCAGCCCCAAATCTGAAGGATGTGTTTTGCAAAAGCAAGGTGCTGGGCATGGTGTAAGAGGAGGCACTCTTGTTTGATAGGACACAATCTGACTGAGATTACGATTAGAGAGGGCTTTGCCTGCCACGATTCCAGAGATCTTGGAAGGATTGGTTGTTTTCGGTGGTTTGGTCACAAGTCTGTGCAAGGATGTTTGAGTAGTGTGACCATTGGGAGTGGTGTAGCCATTTTCCAGCTGAGATGGAGGCAGAATGCGCACATCAAAATCACTGCCTGTGCCCATAGGACATAATTCTTGTTTGTTGGTTTCTTTTAAAAGCCTTCCATATAAGTCACTGGGAGTTTCACAGATAGCTTCTCCTATGTAAATGTTATATGGCATATTCTCCAGCCAAGCCTTTAGAGGCAACAAATCACAGCTGCAGTTCCAAGGGTTATCTTCCAGTTGCAATTCAACAACCCTGCCAATGTGTTCCAGAACTCCAATATAAGGGAGCTTCTGGATTCTGTTCCCTCGTATATCCAGGTGGGTCAAAGATGCGAATCGGAAAATATTATCAGGAAGGAACGAAATCAGATTGTCATTAAGAATGAGAACTTTCAGTTTGTGGAGCTTATTGAAGGCTCCTCGTTCAATATACTTGATTAAATTGTAGTCAGCCTGGAGATACTCCAAGTTCTCTATGCCAAGGAAAGTGTCAGCTCGGAGAATCTTTAATTCATTGTTGTTCAAGTGTAACTGCTTTAATGCACTGAGCCCGAGAAAGGCTCCTCCCTCAATGTTCTGCAGTTTATTATTTCCCAGATGCAGGGATACTGCATGTGAAAAATTCAAGAATGTATTTGGATAAAGGATATTTAAAAAATTGTTCTGGAAATTGAGGTGATAGAAATTAGACCATGGGGGTTTCAGTTGATTGGGTCTGTAGACTGAAACCTTCTCACAGTTCACATAGAGAACATTCTCAACTGATACGCAGGAACACACATTGCAAATTTCCACCGATATATCAGAATCTGCAGTTGTCGATGAAAGCAGGGCTGACAAAATCAGAAAGAGCCAAAGAAACATCTTCTTGCAATCAGCAAACAACTTTATGCTTCTGAATAAAGAGAAATAATCTAAAAAATAAAAAGAAAACATTTTTTCAATCGTCATTACTTTAAAAAAATTGTGTTTTAAATCATACCATGGTGAGCAGATGGCTATAATTGCTAGCATTGTATTGTGTATGTGTGTTTCTGTTTGTGCGCGCACGCGCGTGCGCACACACACACACACACACACACACACACACACACTCACAGAGATGCATGCATGCGGGTCCAGGGGCTTGAAATCACAGTCTGGATGCTGTCCCTGACCGTTTTTTATTATTAAAGGCCAGCCCTCTACCACTTGAGCCACAGCTCCACATCTGGCTTTTTGCTGGTTAATTGGAGAAGAGAGTCTCACAGACTTTCTGCCCAGAGTTGGCTTTGAAATGTCATCCTCAGATTTCAGCCTCCTGAATAGCTAACACAGGCATGAGCCACAGGAACCCAGCTACTAGCATTGTATTTTTAAAGCACACAAAACTCCAAGGATTTGCACTCAGTTGAACAGTAATAACTACCAAAATGATACACCTTCTGTTCCCATACATGTGCAGCAGTTTATACAAAATTTAGATATGCATAATACGTAACCAACAATAGAAGAAAGGTTGTTTGTTATACACACACCATAGTAATCTGAATTCACATTTAACTTGGCACTACCAAATTGTCCTTGAACACAAACCTTAAGCTTTCTATTTGCAACTGAAATGAAGGCACCCACAATATCAAGTGTGACATGTCCTTTGAACCAGAAAGCCATGGCAATTAGTGGATATCTATTCTCTAGGTTGCAGCTAGATTAATATGCTGGGTGGAGACCTTATTAGGACTCTGGTTTCCACGGGGCATGGCAATGGAGGTCTCACTGCTAGAGAAGAGCCAGTTTAAAGAGCAATGTGCAAGGTGCCCTGCGAAAAGATTTGCCTCAGCCTTGGCCCCTAGTTAAGTACATTGCCGTGAATCAGTTCACCTGTGCATTGCTACCTTTAAAAGCAAAGATAACATAGCCGATGGGGTTACAGAATAACAAATGAGTAGGGGGTGGCCACATTTCCTTTGCAAGCAAATACATAGCATCTAGTATCCTGTCAGCTCTCACACAGTGGATGAAGAAAATCTTTTTGGATTTGAGATTTGAGGTTCTGAAGATAGCAGAGGGACCTGTTTGTCCCTGCACTGCTTAGCTAATTTCCAAGCAGCTTTTCTCAACACAACTGGCTCTTCTCTCTGCATAGCCTTTTGTACTCCCTAATTTGCCACTTTGAACCCAGGTCTCATGGACACTTGGCTGAAATGCTCATCTCTTTCCCTTTGACCACAGACTGGCACTGCCGTGGGAGAGACGTTCACACACTACAATCTTTGACAAGCTTCATCTGAAGAAGCAGATATATTCAGAGCAAGACATTTTCATCTTAAAATCACCATTTATCAAACATCGTCCTAAAATGACCATCTCATGTCCCTTTCTGTAAACAAATGAAGAGTTACTTCTTGGAAGAGTTTAATGTTAAGCAAATTAACCCATTAGAGTGCAGTTACACAAATACACTCCCCCCCACCTCTCTGTCACACACACACATTGCTTGGTGCTTCATAGAAACATCAAAAGGAAACAAGCCATGCATTTTACTGATGCAATTTTAGTCATGTAAATATTTTCTCCCCATAGTGAATAGGAAGGAAACTGGTTAACACCAAATATTAATTAAATAGACAACATACCTAGGAACAATGAGGAAGTAATGCAAAAAAAAGAGGTGCCACATCGATATGTCTTTATTTTGCTCAGGAGGCATCAGCTATTGATAAAGTCCAACGTGCCTCAAGGTGGACAATCCATTAGCCACGACCTAGAAAGATTAGCATTTTAAGTACTTTGATTTAGAATACAGTCAGCATTGCTGGCATTCTATTTGGCTGTCATGTAGAGTATATTCCTCCTGTTCATGATTGGTATTGCAAAAAGAAGTCATAATTCTTAAGTATGACATCATCCAAGCCAACTTTAATTGTAAAATCCGAATTTCACTTGGTCTTTTTTTTTGTATGTGCCTCGTGTTGATGTGGGTTTTAACAGCTATTTTAGTTCAGTTGAGTCATTTCTTTTTCCTAACCACCCCCACCCCCACCCCAAAACAAAGAAACCCCAAAGCAATCCAACAAACACACAAAGTGAAAGGAAATAAATTCAAATAACCTGAATTTAGCACAAAAACAAGAATCCGAAGCCTGAAAACAACGCAGAATGCACTGTCCTCCTAGGAATTTCTACTTTAACTATTTTTTGGGGGGAGGGGGGTGCGAAAGGACAAGCTGGGAAGTTCCCAAATGGAGCTCTTGTGAAACAGAGGAAGCCAAAAGCAGCTGGAGGAACGAACGAGGAAGAGGAAGAGCCATCAAGCCCAGGGAGTCAGGGAGAGGTAGAGAATGGACGAGAAGACGAAGAAGAAGAAGAAAAATAAAAACCTTTAGAAAAAGCAGCTAGAAAGAGAGCACACGGACGCTGTCACCGCAAGAAACCTCCTATTCACGTGGCACAACTAAAAACAACAAAAAATAAAAATCACGAGAAAAACCAAACCAGAAAACGAGTAAAAAAAAATCCATACAAAGTACAAGTTGGGTACCAACAGCTATCTCTCAGGCTACAGAGAGCGATGCCACTTCCTTAGCTGCCTTTTTCCTCTCTGTGCTCACCAAAGACCCCTAGCTCGCAGGGCCCGCCCGCCAGCCCTGCACAAATCTCATCCTACCAGAAATCCAGGGGCGCTCCTGGCGCTCCGTGGCCAGGCGCGGGGGGCGAGCCGGCAGAGTGGAAGCCATGGACAGTAGGGTGCTCAGGTCGAGGGAGCTCCCCGGGAGCTGATTGGAAATGTTAATCATAAATAAATAAACAAATCAGCCCGCTGTGGCCCTCAGGAAAGCCAGGATGGAGGGGGTGCGCGGGGTCCGCTGAGAGACCCAACCGCGGCCGCCCCCTGTGTGCGCCACCTCGGGTCGGCAGCGCCGCGGTTGGAGGGGCCGCTGGCGCGGGCGCGTACCGCAATGTTTTGCCGCATCCCAGTGCCCGGAGCCGGCGCGCAGCCCCCTCCCGGTTCCCTGGCCCGAGTGGCAGCGTCGCGGGGCTGGGTGGCAGAGGTGGCTCGCGTGCGCGATCTCCCGGGGGCCCTTCAGCCCCGCTGCGCACACATTTCCCTGCGCGCTCCCGTCCCGCCGGGGGTAGCTGTTGGATTTTCCTTTCCTCCAGCCCCGGGCCCAGCTAGCTCAGGCCGCAATGGCTCTGGGGAAGAGAGGGGTGTCCATGACCCGTACAGTGACCCCCCAGGGCTGCGAGGCCTGGAGGGACAGCCCAGGTGACTTTTGCTCGCCCCCCCTCAGCCCCCAGGCTAGTTTCCCGTTCCTGCTCAGCGCCATCAGCCCTGGGCTGGAGCTCGAAGCACCTTGGCAAAGTCGCGCTGCTTGCCTCGGGCCGGCTTTGCAGGGCTTGGAGAGTTACTCCATGGCTCGGCTCCTCCTTGCCTCTGCTCTGTCTTTGCGGGGTGCCTGCAATCTCCGAGCAGCCCGCTGGCCACTGCCTGGAGCCCCACATCGCCCTCCCAGCACAGTGCTGGCCAGTAGGGCGCAGAAAACAAAACCCAGCCCAGCCAAGCGGCCTCAGCCGCCCAAGCGATCGACCCCCCGCGATACTCGCCCTCCCGCCCGGGCCGCCCAGGCGACGCGGAGGCTGAGGACACTTCGATTGTTTCGGTCCTCGGAGACCCGCGACCCTGCCGGTGAGCCGGCTAACCTAGGGGTAGCTCTGTCGGATGGCGGGGGGCGTTGAACCCACACGTCCACTTCGCCGACTTGACTTGGCCACACATCAACACCAAATGAAACTCAAGAAAATAATAATAATAATAACAACAACAAGCTACCTGTCTCCCTCGGGGCACGCGCACACACAGTCCGTGCCGAGCCCGGGCCAGCGAGGATGAGGCAGCGCGCCTGGCGGGGCAGCTCGCGCAACCCCCACTGGAAATTCACCCACCTCGAGACCCTCGCGCCGGGTGCAGCGCCCGCCGTGGGCACCGCTCGCGCTACAGTCTCCGCGATCTTCTTTACCAGAGCCGGGCTCCAGCTTCTCCGCGCCCCGCTCGCCGCTCCGAAACCGCCGAGCAGTGCGAGCAGGCGAGCAGGCGGACCGCGGCGCGCGCGCGCGCACCCGGCCAGACACCGAGCGCGCTCCCGGCGCCTCGCACACGGGCTGCACCTTTACATACACGCGCCGAATCTCCGCCCCCGCCCCCGCCCCACACACTCACCCGTCCCTCCACACACCAAACCACCTCGACTCCACCGCTCCTGAACCTCCTAGTCCTGCACCGGGACCCCCCCCCCCCAGCATGATTCCCTTTCTCCCCACGCACCGAGAAAGCGCGCTGCCCTCCTGCCATCAGCCCCCTCTTTTGCTTAAAACACCCCCTGGGGGAGGAGCGACCCCTATCCTCATTACACAGACCCCCACTTCCTGAAGGCCCGCTCACTTGCCTCCATCATCTCGCCCCTCACCCCCGCCCCCGCAACACCACATATGCACACTTGAGTCCTTTCTCCACCCCCAGTCCCCTAAGATTGAAGGAACACACACACACACACACACACACACACACACACACACACACACACACCACCCTCGCATGCACCCCTGCGCGTTCACGCGTTCCCTTGAGGGAGCACCCAAGAATCCAGGAAAAGACGAAGAAACGTGGAGAGCCCGGGGGGAGGAGGGGGTCAAGGCAGACAGGGTCGTCGAGTCTACGCAGAAAATTGAACAATTCCAGGATGGAGGGGGGTGAGTGAACAACAATGACATTCCCATGCAACCCTGGCACTTGGCTTGTGTAATGTGGGTCCGGTACCTTTGGCTAATTGTCATCCCACACAAGACAGGGCTCCTGAAATACTTAGCTGGGTGATGGGTGATCCTGGATGGAGCCTTCTTTGGGCCACTTTCCTGGTATACGCACTCCCCCTACCTGTCTGCGCGCAAGAGGCCTGGGGCTTTAAGGCAAAAGTGGAAAGATTGAGCCCAAAGTGAGATTATTTCGCCAGATTACGAGGAGATGGGTTAATGCTCCACATTTTCAAGGCAAAATGGGTTAAGTGATGTGATTTAGCAGCTGGGAGGAGGGACTGGGGCAATGGGTAGAGGAAAGAGAGGTGTAGAACTGGGAGAGATGCTGCAAGCACTAGGCGACCAAAAAGGGGGTGAAATCTGCTTTGGCTACTGAGCATGCCCAGTTCTTAGCTCAAGCTCTATAAGGGAGGCATTGTGTGCATTCCACTTCTCCAGGCTTTGGTGATGACCAGGAAGAGAAGTGTGTGTGTGTGTGTGTGTGTGTGTGATGGGTCCTCAGACTTTAGGGGAAGGACATGGGGGAGACTAAGTTTGAAGCATTGGATTGTGCAGAAGAGACATAAGAAGGACTAATACATCCGGGAGATTTCGAGCATTGAAATGGACTTAGAAAAGTCTTATCAATACCCACCCCCGGCAAACTGCTAAAGTCTGGCTTTATTTAGTAGTTAACTGACATCCCAAGGCTGCAGGTCTCAGCCTATGGATTGTCTAGGTCTCACCTATTCCTCTGTGGTTCCACAAGCGTAACAGTGTCTTAAGAAAGAGCTAATGTTCAAACCAGTTTTCGTGCAGATTGGTAATTGAGTTAATAAGCTTAAAGAAAGCAAATGAATCTGGGGGAGAATGGCGGAGGAGGTTTGCTGTCAAAAACACCTTTCAAATACTTGGCTTTTTAAACAAGAAAAAAAAAAAACAACGTGAAAGTTCATATTATTCCCTTCCACCAACCTTGCTGTTTTTGTAGGTGCTTGGTTAAGAAAAAAATACAACAAAACAAAATTTCCTTGGCTTGTGAATATAAGAGGAAAATGGCTTTTGGTAAATAGGGCTGAATTATAAATGGGAGATGTTCCTTTGGACTTCTTTGCAACATTCCCACTATGACTACTAGGCCCATATCCTTATGATCCTTGTTGTGCCCATTGCACATATGCAAATTGCCTCTAGCCACAATGGGGGTATAGGCAAAACCCAGAAAAGCTTTTGCTTAAAAATGAAAAATCTCTAAGCTAAAACTAGCAATAGCTTGGAAACCAAAATTTGGCTGCCTGCCTGAACTCCTACAGTTAAACATTTACCATAATTGGTTGATGTTTCAAGGTCCCAAATCCAGGCAGAAAATCCGATGCCCACAGGATGTATTACATTACTTGTCAATAATTACCTACCTTCTACATGATCTGTAGTATATCTCTCTTTATATATGTTTCATCTTGTTTTCAGTTTTGTCATCTCATGAAGCTGCCTATATGTTATACTCATGCAAAGGTTGGCTGAGCCTAGCATGTGCACAGACGTGTACATACACTATTTAAATGAATAAACATTTGTGCATATATACACAAATTTCCTCACGACCTTGATAAATAGTTTATACCATCCTTCATAATGAACCCTTTTTTCACTCTACTCTTCATGCTGTGAAATTTTTCCATCATCTTCTGTTTTTTTTTAAACAACCTAGAAGCAGAAATTGAGTGGGCAGCAAAGATAAAATTTGCTATATTCAATGTGAAATCCGTGATGAAATAGCATTGCTTAAGGAAGAGTTCGGCTATAACAACATATGTACTTGTACAGTTCTTCTGAGTAAGGTGAAATGTTTCCTCCATAGGTAACAGCTGCAGCACATTGAAAAAAAATCCCTTTGCTGTTGTACATTTGAACAAAACAGAACCTTCTAATTAAGAACTCACATTAACATTATATTGCATAATGCAATTTGGAAGTGGTAATGGATACCAACACAACTTGGCATTTATTCTATATGCAAAGGATTCAGCAAGCTACAATGTATTTATTAGGGATAGGTGAATTATTTGTCCTTTACTATAAATGTTAACAAGATTCAATAGAATGAACAAAAAATACTTGAAAATATAATGCACAGTACAGGGTAGCAGGATAGCTGTAAAGGCCAGATTTGGACAGTAAATATCAGATGATTTAAATGCCTATCTTTATTCAACCTTGGAAACTGTTCTGAGGCTTGCTATATTTAACTGCAATAACTATGGAATGCTCTTTTTCATATGATATGGAGGTACAAATCTTAAAACAAGTGGAACAATAACACTAAAAAATGTAATTAATAATACTGTTAAAAATGTATTATTGCTGGGGCCTGGTGGCTTATGCCTGCAATCTTAGCTACTCAGGAAGCTGAGATTTGATGGTCACAGTTGGAAGGAAGCCAGGCCAGGCAGGAAAGACCCTGAGTCTCTAATTAACCATAAGAAAACCAGAAGTGCTGCTGTGGTTAAAAGTGGTAGAGTGCTAGCCATGAGGGTAAAAGTTCAGGGACATCTCCCAGGCCCTGAGTTGAGTTCAAGCCCCACAACCACCACCACCACCAACAAAATAAGTAATAACACAACATAATGAATAAAAATACGTTAGTTATCATCAGAAATAGTGACACATGTCTGTAATGCTAGCACTTGGGAGACTGAGGAAGGCGGAACTCATGTTTATGGCAAGCTTGGGTTATATAGGAAACAAAGAGACAGAGAGAAAGACAGAGAGAGAGATTGAGCGAGACAGACAGAGACAGAGGTGGAGGGAGAGAGAGAGAAAGAGAATGTATCAGTGATTATTCACACATACTTGAAAATATTTTCATCTTTGAAAAGATTAACTGAACAAATAAAATAAAATAGGATTAATAACCCACGATTTATAACCTTGTTTTAATCTTGTCTGCTTACAAAGCTTTGGAAACCCAAATCTTTGAGTCTAGTCCCTAGATCCCCATGTAACAAAGTATAGAATAAGGCAAATTTATGGGAATTGCTACCTATACAAAGAGAGTAAATTTCTAACTAGAAGTGTTAAAAAATTTCCAGCACTCACTATTTGGCATAATTGAAGGAAAATCCCGGTTGATGTTCTTCCTAAAATACATGAATGAAAATCTGCACTGTTGTTATAACCTCACCATCTTTTTTCCCCCCCAAATCTTGACTTTGCAAGAGAAACCCTGGAATCACAGGCTCCTCCAACATACAATGTCTCTCTCCTTCAAGCAAATGAACAATTGTGCCCGGAGTTTCAAGAAGACTGTGTACATTCTTAATTGCAGAGACAGTTTTCGTTAACAATCCTAAATTATTATAACCCAAACAAGTTATGGCCCTAGTTCAGTGGTCTTTTATTTTCATAGTATTTCTCATTGATTCTGCCTTATTTTGCTATTGTTTAGAGTTAATTTGGCACTCAGCTATTACAGCTTATTCAGGTTAACACAGAAGAGTCATTTATCATTTTGCATGTTAACAGTTATTTACTTGGCATTTCTGGAAATAAAATACAAAAGAACCATGCCTAGATTGTTAACTCATTGGGGAAAAGAAGTTTTCTTGATGAACTAAGTTTAAAAGCTCCTTCTCCTTCATTCCATATAACTAAACTTTTTTTGTTTATTTGTTTTTGCTAAACACTTTTAAAACTTAAGATTTCTCAGAAACAAGCTAAAATGAATTGTTTCTTTGAAATTTTATCTTATTTCTTTGTACAGTTTATGTATTGTTACAGTTACATAAGTAAGGTAATGAGTACATTTCTTGTCAAACATTGTTGCTCCCTCCCTCGATTTTCTCCCACTAAAATGAATTATTATTTACTGAAGGCAAAGGGATGCAACAAACTTATTGGTCAGTGGAACCATTACACTTTGTACTCATTGCTAATTTTTGCAAATTTTCTGGCATTTAACAGCTGAAAGTTTTCATTATCTACCTCACACAATGCTAATAACTACCTATTGAATGTATTTTCTTACCTCTTGTACATAAAGATATCACAGTATTTAGTTGAAGTCACAGGAAAATATTATTATATTTACCAATATGTTCAATGGGGAAAGTTGGGGAAGAAGGTTGAAGGGATGACATCGATCAAGATGCATTATACACATATCCTGACCTCTGGAATTGAAACGACTGTACAATTACTTAATACAAGTAAATATTATAAAGTGTGTTGAGGGGGGCCAATAATTTCCCTTAAAAACATAGTGATTGACAGACAAGATCTGACTGTATGTCAGATTTTTCTGGTATTCCATGATCATTTCTCAATAAGCAGAATCAGAACACTTTTAACTCTAAAAATAGAATAGATCTGAAAGCAGAATAGATTTTCCAAAGGCAGGTACTCAGTAATGTAGTCTTTGCAAGAATTTAAATACTTAGCATGAGAATAAACTAGTAAAGTATGTGACGTAAAGGTTGACACCAGTTACAGATAGTAGAATATCTAAATAAAATGAGGTTTTACACTTTGCTAATAGTAGCCTTGTTTTATCCCTATGCAGACCTCTCATTCTTGAGTTTTTAAAATGTATATCTTTTAAGTATCTGTATAAAGAAGCTGCCATTGAACAGAGCAGTTTATGAATACAATGTGTCTTGTATTGTCACCCATTCCTCTCAGCTCACCCCTTTCTTCACTTTTGAGTTAGTTATCAATCTGCAATGATGTCTAAATTGTCTTTTAGGAGCAATTGCTTTCCTTGCTGCCAAATGAAGGTTTTCTATCATTGCTTTTATTTATTTATTGTTGTCTTACTTTCAGTCCTTCTACTCATTTCTTTTCATTTTATTTTAATGGTGATGTACAGTTAAGTCAGTTAATGAGTACATTTCCTCTCTCCTCCCGCATTCTCTCCCACTTTTTCCCTACCATCTCCCCCCTCCCAAGTTGAATGTGTCATAATGTCTAGTGAATATCACTGCTGAATTGGCTCACCCTTTGTCCAGCCATTTCTGTGCTTTCCCTCTCCCCAAATCAGAGAGACAAAGGGTACAGAAATTAAATAAAA